AATATTTTTATTTCTCTCAGTTATGACATGCAAGTAAGTAATAAAAGGATATAAGGAAATTTATCTATATCAAAAAATGTCATTGAGGTTATTGATTTTGCAGAAACCATAGAGAATGTTTCATGAAACTACATTATATGGTACTTTTTAGTATGTTACTTACATTTTAAATAATCAACAATTAAAGGAAATTCTTAATAATTATTTATTACCAATAACATTATTCTATTCAAGTAACCATTTTGAGGTTAGTATTTTAAATAAAACATTAAAAACAAATGGTACTGACTGATACCAGCTTTTGATGAAATAATACTTCTGTATTTGTAGTCATGTGAAGTATAACTTTCTCCTCACAATGGATCTTTTATAACATAAGTTTTAGTATTTTCTTCTTTTTTTTTTAATTGTACTTTAAGTTCTAGGTACATGTACAGGTTTGTTACACATGTGTACAGGTTTGTTACACATGTATACATGTGCCATGTTGGTATGCTGCACCCATTAACTCATCGTTTACATTAGGTATATCTCCTAATGCTATCCCTCCCCCCTCCTCCCCACAATAGGACCCGGTGTGTGATGTTCCCCTTTCTGTGTCCAAGTGATCTCATTGTTCAATTCTCTCCTATGAGTGAGAACATGTGGTATTTGTTTTTTCTGTTCTTGCAAGAGTTTGCTGAGAATGATGGTTTCCAGCTTCATCCATGTCCCTAACAAAGGAAACGAACTCATCATTGTTTATGGCTGCATAGTATTCCATGGTATATATGTGCCACATTTTCTTAATCCAATCTGTCACATGGTATATACGTGCCACATTTCTTAATCAATTTGGGTTGATTACAAGTCTTTGCTATTGTGAATAGTGCCAAAATAAACATACGTGTGCATGTGTCTTTATACCAGCATGATTTATAATCCTTTGGGTATATCCCCAGTAATGGGATGGCTGGGTCAAACGGTATTTCTAGTTCTAGATCCTTGAGGAATCGCCACACTGTTTTCCACAATGGTTGAACTAGTTTACACTCCCACCAACAGTGTAAAAGTGTTCCTATTTCTCCACATCCTCTCCAGCACCTGTTATTTTCTGATTTTTTAATGATTGCCATTCTAACTGGTGTGGGATGGTATCTCATTGTGGTTTTGATGTACATTTCTTTGATGGCCAGTGATGATGAGCATTTTTTCATGTGTCTGTTGGCTGTATGAATGTCTTCTTTTGAGAAGTGTCTGTTCATATCCTTTGCCCACTTTTTGATAGGGTTGTTTAGTTTTTTCTTTTAAATTTGATTGAGTTCTTTGTAGGTTCTGGATATTAGCCCTTTGTCAGATGAGTAGATTGCAAAAATTTTCTCCCATTTTGTAGGTTGCCTGTTCACTCTGGTGGTAGTTTCTTTTGCTGTGCAGAAGCCCTTTAGTTTAATGAGATTCCATATGTCAATTTTGGGTTTTGTTGCCTTTGCTTTTGGTATTTTAGACAAGATGTCCTTTGCCCATGCCTATGTCCTGAATGGTATTACCTAGGTTTTCTTCTAGGGTTTTTATGGTATTAGGTCTAACATTTTCATATAAGGAGTAAGGAAAGGATCCAGTCTCAGCTTTCTACTTATGGCTAGCCAATTTTCGCAGCACCATTTATTATATAGGGAATCCTTTCCCCATTTCTTGTTTCTCTCAGGTTTGTCAAAGATCAGATGGCTGTAGATGTGTGGTATTATTTCTGAGGACTCTGTTCTGTTCCATTGGTCTATATCTCTGTTTTGGTACCCGTACCATGCTGTTTTGGTTACTGTAGCCTTGTAGTATAGTTTGAAGTCAGGTAGCCTGATGCCTCCAGCTTTGTTCTTTTGGCTTAGGATTATCTTGGCAATGCAGGGTCTTTTTTGGTTCCATATGAACTTTAAAGCAGTTTTTTCCAATTCTGTGAAGAAAGTCGTTGGTAGCTTAATGGGGATGGCATTGAATCTATAAATTACCTTGGGCAGTATGGCCATTTTCACAATATTGATTCTTCCTATCCATGAGCATGGTATGATCTTCCATTTGTTTGTGTCCTCTTTGATTTCATGGAGCAGTGGTTTGTAGTTCTCCTTGAAGAGGTCCTTTACATCGCTTGAAAGTTGGATTCCTAGGTATTTTATTCTCTTTGAAGCTATTGTGAATGGGAGTTCATTCATGATTTGGCTCTCTGTTTGTCTGTTAGTATTTTCTCTGATACAAACCCTGTGACATCTCAAGGCTTTACTGTGTCCATACATTACAAACCTACTCTGAAGTGGGCCTCAAACAGATAGAAAAATTATATTTGTGACAAAATTCTAGAAAAGGGAATGGTAAAATGGGAGAATAACTTTCAAATTTCTAACTGTTCATCAATGGATTTGGATATATTTAGATACAGACAAATATTTTCACACTGCAAATTTGCACATGAGTATATAAATTTATATGAGATACCCATAATGTATGGGTTGTGTAATCTTTTAATTAATCCTCAATTTTACATGTGGGAAATTTGGAAAGAGTTTATCCTTCTCAGATACTCAATTTGAACTACTATACTCAATTTGATGTAAAGGTAACAAAATATCTATACATATTTATTTCAATTAATTCAATAACGTGAACTGCTGATAGCTTCATTCTCCTTGTTCCCTGTAGGCAACTGAAAGTTGATTCTCACTCTACTTCCGTTCTCAGGGTGCCATGCACAAGATACTATCACCTTGTTGTGGATTGTGACCTCTGACTCCACCATTTTTGTCTTATAACTGTCCTTTGTATATTTAATGAATTTTTACATGTTTAAAAACATAAAAGTGTAGTGAAATGTCAGGCCATGCTGCGAAATATTCCATTGTTTCCATATATCTAATTCACATTTTATGTTATAGAGGACAAGAAAAACAATGCATTTCTTAGTATCCAGTCCAATGCACCCTTTCTTATTAATATGACAAATACTTCCCTTCAAAGTACTGACAGCTAAACACAGCTAGATGTATAAAAATCTCTTCTCATTCATAACCATTATGTTAATCACTGCTGCCCAGATCCGGACTCTGTGAAATCCTTGGGTGGAAATTTCTATGATGGCTCAAACTACAGCAATGACTATGTTTTGGAATAATTACTGCTGTCATCTTACTGAAAAATATCACATTAGATGGCAACTTTTAGTTACATAAATCCTGTTGATTAATTTTTAATGTCCAACACTTATGATATTGCACATTTTGATAAGTTAGATGGTTAGCTAAGCCATAACTAAAATAACTCACAACAATTCAAACTTCATTTACTTTCTACAAGTGCCATGCATTATTAACTCCTGAGGAAAACAAAGTTGGGATATTGCAAGTACTAAACTGGTTACTAAAGTATGTATTTCAGGGTATTTTATAAACCTATCTGTGCCATGGTATGATGCCTCATCGGCAAGGATAAAGCTTTAACATACATGAAAATAAATGTCTTTGGTTCTTACTATCTCTCTACATTTGTCTTCATAACCTCAAGACAAAAACACCCATGTATTCTACTTTCAGCTGAATTTACTAGTAGTTACTAGGTTTTAAGTAAACAGAATAAAGATTTCAAAATTTGGTGACCATATATGAGAAATCACACTCTCACCATAAGAAATAATTATTCTCAAGTGCCTCTGCACACGCAAAATGGAAAGAAGAAATTAAGTCTAACATATTGCAATATTCTAAAATCTAAAATTTCCTCTTGGAGGTCTGGTGGTTCATATCTGAAATCACCACTCTTTGGGAGGCTGAGATGGGAGGATTCCTTCAAGCCCAGAGTTCGAGACCAGCACAAGCAACAATGCAGCTCTATCTCTACAAATGTAATGAATGAATTAATTAAATACATTTGATGCAATGGCACTCATATCTTGTTCTATTTACTCAGGAATGGAAGATTGTAGTGAGCTGCAATCACAAGCTGCAATTCAGCCTGGGCCATGGGACAAGACTTTGTCTCTACAAAATAATTCAATAGAAAAAAAAAATTAAAATAAAAACACTTTCAGGTATTTTTTGGAAGTTTGTATAATTGCTCCAAAAATATAGACATTGTTTAAAGCTGAGCAGTTCATGGGGAATGGGCAGTGAATATTGTTTATATTGTTTTCCAAAAATTACAATAAATTTTTTACAACATTGTATATGAATATTTAACAACATTTTGTACAATAAATATTGACAAATGTCAAGCCATAGTGTTTATAGACTTTCCCTTCAAAATATTCATAGTTTAATTGGAGAATGAAGAGTAAAGCAATAATTGAAATGTACTCTGAAAAGTGTTACAGTATATACAATTTAATAACTTAGTTGGAGAGAAAGGAAGTTCTTAATTGGGTTTACAGGGCTTTGGGGAACCTTCTTAGGGCAGCAGCAATTGGCTGCATCTGTAAGGATACCAATTTGCAAGAAGAATGTTTGGGAGAATAAAGTTGTATAAAAAAAAATTCTTTCTATCAATGATAAAAGTATAACAGTGCATATGATACCATCTGCCCAATTCTTAAAGCATACTAGCTCAATAAATATTTCTTGAATGAATCCTTGAATGGAAGATATTGAGAAAAGATTCTAGAAGGGACTTTCAAGATCCTGCAAGGAAAGATAAATACCCTGGCCTTTACAATTGTGCCTGCTTTTCTTTATGTTCTTGTTATGTTTAGTAACTCATAAGCTCTGTTTTACTTTTTGGTCATTTCACAAATATCATTCATGAATTGTTCATGAGACTACTTTTATTTTGATCTCTTGATACTATATTTGTCTCTGATACTCCTTTATGTGAGGTGCTGGGTTTTTATGCCACAGCTACATCTCCTACCTTTCCCTGTCACTGTTCTGTAATAGAGAGACCTTGCCCCTGAGAGGCATGGTTCCTATGCTCCCATAAAAATTACTTCCTGTTTCAGTTCACCAAAGGGGTGCCACTGCAAAGATTAGATAACAAAAAGATGAGAGAAATCAGTTTGTTTCCATTTACTTCTCAGTAGGGGATATGTTTCTGCAGTGATTCTACATCTTGCAGGACATGGTGCCTGTGTTTCCATTTTCCATGCAGTGACCCTAATCCTAGATTGGCTCTTCCAATGAGATTTTCTCCAGTTGCCTTCTCTAAAGGATTTGGATACTATTTTTGTTTTAAATTAGAAAATATTGATATGGAAGGGGAGCAGGAAAGTGGCTGGCAGAAGAGGGTGTGACCTTTGGCTACAGCTCTACCCTCAGGCCTGTGCTCACTGATCTAGGTGAGGACATCCTCTCCTTTTTTTTTTTTTTTTTTTGCCCAAGGGTTGCATTTTCTAAGACCACCATAGCCTGCCATACCCCCATCCTGTGCTATAAGAAACCCCAAGACCCTAGGAGGCAGAGATACAGCAGCTGAGTGTTGAGAGGAACCATCAGCAGAAGAAGACATAGCAACCGGACCTCGAGAGGATACCAGAGAAAGGAGATCACAAGGACTGAGGCAGCAGGCCATTCACAGCAGAAGAACAGGGAGTTCCATGGGGCTGTGGAAGGAGAGAGCTGAGCTGCCCCATTCCAAGGGAAAACCACCTTCCCACTGCATCTCCTTTCTGGCTCCCCACTCATCTGCTGAGAACTTCCACTCAATGAAATATTGCAATTATTCTTAAGCCCATATGTGAGCCAATTTTTCAGGTCTGCCAAGGCAGGAAGCCCCAGGATACAGAAAGTCCACTGTCTTTGCAGTAAGGCTGGGTGTCTAATTGAGCTAACACAAGCCACCTACAGATGAATAAACCAAATTATCACCATGTAACACATGTCCCTCGGGGATTCAGGAGCTATAAACATTCATCCTTACATGCTGCCTGGGGTCAGAGCCCCACAAACTGTCCTCAATGCTAGCCCAGCGGCGGAGGATATGGGACATTTTCCCATTTCAGTATGTGTCTGTTTCCAATGCAATGTGCTTTCTTCAATACTGTGATGCTACCTCATTGCACGTATTTGACAAAATAAGTTACAAACTATAACGAATGTAAGAAGAAAATAAATAGTGTAGAAAAGGGAAGAAATATGAAGCATTGTATTTCACAACGAATGTAAACAACTATATTTATGATTAATCAATACATGATAACAGCAGAGCAGTTGCTTAAGGTCATGAGGGGGCATTACTCCATCATCTTGGGATTTCATTCTAGAACAGAGAGTGTGAGCAGCAATAAAGTCAGATAGGGGAGAGGATACAATCTGGTGAGGTGAGGATTGCATCTTGCACCTTCATCTGCAGAAAAGGTAAAGACAGATGACACAGAAGTTGCTTCCAGCTGTATCCCTGTATTCTCTTAATTGCACATGCTGTCCACACCATGGCCTGGTGTTCACCTGGGAGTTCTCCAACATGCCATGAACACGGAGGGTGAAAACTTGGGTTATCCTAGCAAACTCCCGATTTGAGGGCTTTCATATCCGGGGCCAAATGGGAGTGGGATGGATTGATGCTGGGTGGGATGGGGCCTCCACAGTTGCCACTTCTTTTTCTGACTTTAGTGTTCCTCATCAAATTAGGGTTTCCTTCATCTGGCTCCTGGGTCTTCCACATTAAACATTTCCCAGTTCATGAAGGATGACCCTCATGAGAATCTATTATATGAGTGTTTCCTTCTAAGCACTGTCACGTTTTAGTAACTGGGCACCTTTGATACTTTTTAAACTGTAAATTACCATGCAGTCATCCACAGGCAAACTCTTGTTCTCCCACTTCTATCAGAGGGTGACATGATTCCTATAGGATGAGAGGCAGGCAACCATGTCTAACATTTTCCTGGTAATCTAGGCTCTGTTTCATTTCATCTACACATCCTTTTTCATTGTCGCAGGCCCCCTTCATTTGGGTTGTTGCTGGATGGGACTGCCTCTTGCCACAGATCTTTTGGCTACCAGGGATTTCTGAGAGTAAAAGGGACTTTGGATAGACTAGCTGAGCTCCAGTTACTGAGTCGAGGTCGTGTTGTGGGGACTGAGGATGTTTGAATTTTACAGGAGGATTTTGGGTCCTCTGACAAGAATCATTGAACATTGCCTGGACTCCAGCAAAATGCAACTCATTCTCTCACGTGAGCATTGATTTCTCTTTGCTTTCCTAGTGGGTCCACATTGCCTGTCAACAGCACCACTGGACACCATTTTCAGTATTGCAATCGCCACAGATGGCCTATGGAGTGTGTGCCTGTAAGTGGAATCTGCTAAAAGTAGTGTGGCTATCCCATTGCAATGCTTCTTTTTTTTTGGAGTAACCCAACATTTTGGTGGCCTGTGTGTGTAGCTCTGCTTGGGCTGTGGGTTCCGTGTTCTTTATTTTTCTGTGGATCATGAATCCACAATGAACTGGGAATCTGAGATCCATCAGGATCCAATTCACCTTCCTCTGCAAAAAAAAAAAAAAATAATAATAATAAAGCTTCTCTTTTAGAAAGAAGAGGAACATGTCATACCCAATAACTGACATCTACCAGTGTCTCATTGTCCCACAGCCAACCCAGGGAGAGATACTAGCAGTCTTGTCTGCAGGACCCCTTGAATTTACCTCAAATTTGGTTCCCAGCTGAGCCAGTGATTAAAGTCATCAGGGGACACTCATCCACTGTCTTGGGATTTCATTCTGGGACAGAGAGTGTGAGCGGCAGTTAGGACAGATAGGAGTGAGGATACAACGTGGTGACTGGTAGATGGGGTCCTGCACCTTCACCTGCAATAGAAGGTGAAGACAGATGACACAAAAGGTGCTTGCAACTGCATCCCTGCATTCCATTAATTGCAACAGCAGTTCATACCGTGGCCCTGTCTTCAACTGGGAGTACTCCAATGTGCAGGGAACATTTGGAGTGCAAACAGGGGCCATCTTGGCAAACTCTCAATTTGAGGATTTTCATTCCCATTCTCAAATGGGAGTGGAGTGGAATGATGCTGGGTAGAATATGGCCTCCATACTTACCTACTCTTTTCCTGACTTCCATGTTCCTTGTCTGTCTAGGGTTTCCTGGGTTTGGCTAAATGTCTTACACACTAACTGTTTCACAGTTCACAGAGGACAGCCCTTATGGGAATCCATTGTATGAGTGTCTCCTCCTAAACATTCTCACATTTTAATGACTGAGCTTCTTTGATGCATTTAAAACCATAAATTTCTGTTATGGATGCCGAAACAAAACTCTTATTCTCCCACTTCTATCGGATGGCTGTGTCATTCCTGTAGCATGAGAAACAGGCTGGTGTGTCTGGATATTTTTCTGGTAATTTAGGCTGTGTTTCATTACATCTGCACGTCCTTTCTCATTGTGGAGGGAGTATTTCATTGAGCTGTTGCTGGATGTGACTACCTCACACCAAGATCTCTTGGCTGCCAGGGATTTCAGGGAGGAAAAGGGAAGTTGGGTAGGCTGACTGTGCTTCAGGGTGTGGGTCAGGGTCTCTTTGTGGAGACTGAGGTTTTTTGCATTTCGCAGGAGGCTTTTGGATCCTCTGGCAGGAATGTCTGAATGCTGTTTGGACTCCAGCACAAGTCAGTTCATTCTCTTGAGTGAGTTTTGATTTTTCCTTGCTTTCATGGTGGGTCCGCAGTGACTTTCAACAATGCTACTAGACACCTTTTTCAGACTTGCAATCAAAACAGACGGCCTCTGAGACACTGTCTCAACCTCATCTGCACCTGTGAGCCACCAGTTTGAGGTGTGAGAGCACAGCTCCACCTTAGATTTGCCTTCCTTGTGATCCCTGCCTTTCCCAGACAGTGCTTGGGAGTACAGGGTGAAGGGAGGAAGTTAGGTAAAGGGCAGAGCCATCTTTCACTGATACCCACCTCTGGGGTCTCACATGTGATTCTATCAACCAAAAATCCCTCAACAACTTACCAGACTATATTCCAAACCCCATGGATCCAGATTCTTGCACACAGCCTCTTTCAGGAAAGCAATCAGAAGAGCAGTTTTCAGGGGCCCGTGCACAGTCTCAAAATTCTCATTCTCCAGCTGGACCAGACCACGAAAACGACCCAATGGAGTCCTAAGGTGGAGACTTACAGGGTCCCACAGAGGGTTATCACAGGCAGTCTTTCTCCCAAAACCAGGCTGGCTCTGCCTGTACCATTTTCCTCCGCTTAGGAAGGCTCACACATCTGAGAGTTGGGCGTCCGTGCTTGCCTTGCAAATGTGCATGCCCTGTTCTCCTGACAGAAGGCCTGAGCTGTGAGCTCTGTCTAGCATCATAAGACATGACCCCACTGCCTAGTGACAAGTCACTGCAACATGGCAGAGAAGGATAGCTCTGTGGAGGTGTGTTGGGGGCGGACTGTTGTCTGTTTTCTTTGTGGGATGCACGGGATAGTCGCATGATCCTAGGAAAGGGCAGATTCTCATTCTCCAGCTGGACCAGACCACGAAAACGACCCAATGGAGTCCTAAGGTGGAGACTTACAGGGTCCCACAGAGGGTTATCACAGGCAGTCTTTCTCCCAAAACCAGGCTGGCTCTGCCTGTACCATTTTCCTCCGCTTAGGAAGGCTCACACATCTGAGAGTTGGGCGTCCGTGCTTGCCTTGCAAATGTGCATGCCCTGTTCTCCTGACAGAAGGCCTGAGCTGTGAGCTCTGTCTAGCATCATAAGACATGACCCCACTGCCTAGTGACAAGTCACTGCAACATGGCAGAGAAGGATAGCTCTGTGGAGGTGTGTTGGGGGCGGACTGTTGTCTGTTTTCTTTGTGGGATGCACGGGATAGTCGCATGATCCTAGGAAAGGGCAGATATGTGCCACCCTGAGGAAACATCAAGTAAAGACCCAGGAATAAACAGTGAAATCCCTAAGCAACCAAAAGAATCTGTAGGATGCCTCAGGCCTGCCTACACATTATAGGGATGAGTCCTTTAGAAACTTGCTGTAGTGCGATTTCTAGTTACAACCGGCCTATGCTCCCAGGGTTGCTCTCTCCCTAGTGGGGA